GACGGTAATTCATTACAACTTATTTTAGATATCCAGTGGATACCAAGTATCAGTAATGATTGAACACTCAATTTCATTCTGCACATTGCGCGGCGTTGCGCAAGTAACCCATTTCATACAAGTCTACTTAAGCTGAGTTAGCACGTGAATAAACCAGTCATAGTAAACACAAAATTCTGTTCCGTTATTCCAGCAGAGAAATACCGCCGCAATGTTTTTTCCTGAGCTTCGTGCCTCGTGTTGGGAGTCCGTACTTCAGCGAACGTAGAGCCACAATGGTACAAAAACAAACACCTCGAACTTTTTGCTCATAGAGAAAGCGTGCATGGCTGCTCATTCGTTAATTCTAATAATGATTTCCATTTCCATTCGCGGGGTTGTTTATAAATTCACTCTTAGCAACATCGGAACATCTCTTTAAATCCTGAACTTTTTTTTACGTTCGGCCACAAACAGAGGTCACGAACGTGGTATGTCTAGATATATTTGGAGCAGAATGGAACCCTCGGCCTCCTACCGCAATGCTACAAATAGACATCGTAAGTGAGCTTTCATTGTCCATTCTTCCCACCACTGTTTCCGATCTCATAGCCGAGCTCTTTTTCACTGGAAGAATTCTCGTTATCCAGCGCCTAAGAGTGCATCGGCACTAAAAGATTGACAATATTCACATTCATGATCTACGAATATCAGAATATCTGATAGCCGCGTTCACACGCCATACACCGAGACTGACAAGAAGAACAAAAGAGGAAATAATGCAAATATTATGCAATCATGACCGGCACGATAGTAAATATTAGCTCTGAATATCTAGGCAAATCTCGGACCAGTGTTATCAGATTATAGTCGATTAGAACAGAATAAACTATAAAATACTCTCATGTGTTCGATGTGATGGCGATAAATTTTGTTTATGCAACACAGCTGCTCCAAAAATATCCACTTTTTATAAAAGTCCGAAAATCACGTATGAATTATGCGATCCGTATCATTAGATATACAAAAGCAAGTTATGTGAAGATTATAACAAAAAGTGTCCTAAGTCATTAATGCGTGTACTGTTAAGCATACGCCAATATATAGAAGATATATTTTCAATAAAAATGCTAATTTTTGTATTTTGCCATTTTTATTCCAAATGCAAATCAAACGTAGGAAAATTTCAACGGAATCAACTTTCTCAGCGCATTAGTTTTCGTCGGCACGATGAGAATCCTGATTTCAAGTATCCAGTGATCCGCAAGCTTTAAGTCAAACATAACATTCTTGTATTAGACGCTTATCACTAACTTATATAAATATTTAAACAACTTCTTCAACAAAAAAACAAATTCCGAATATCTTACTCTGAGTGTAATATCCAGAGAGCGGAATTCTCCCGCACAATACGAAAGAATGTCTCTCGCAATTCGACCGATTTGAAGCGACCCCCGGAAAAGCGAAGTGTGCGACTCAGCAAAGTCGCCCCGTCTAAGACATCTGCGACGGCGAGGCACAGAGCCGAATAAGGCGCAGAAGCGGGCAGAGCGTATAAGGCACGCAGCAGGCGAAGCCGAACACGACCGTCCTCATCATGCAACGTCGTCACCTCCATCTCCCCACTCCCTCTGCCCAACATTGCTCCCGCCGTTCTCATCAGCCTCCTCCCCTCTCTGCCTTCCTCGACTCCGACGTACGGACCGTTCCCAACTTTCTCCCCGTGCTCAGACTTACCGCCGACCGCTTCCCCGGCAGACCTCTCCCGCCCCTTATAGACGAAACACGACCTTTCGGTCTCTCCTCGCTGTCCTCACGGTCTACAAGCGCCCTCGCCGCCCACCCTCCTCGTCATCGACGCTGACCTCTTCCAACCACCTTCCTCCACCCGCTCCCGCATAACGCCAGTTCTCGCCGTCCTCATCGAGACGACCGCTGGGGCCGTCCTCACCACCCCATCATCCCCGCCCGGTCCGCGTCGTCCCCGCCGTCCTCGCTGCCCGCCCCCGCATCTCGCGAACTTGGCGCGAGTTCCGGTGCGCTATAATGAAGTTTCCGGTCACTGTTTTAATTAAGTGAGTCACATTTCCCATTGCACCCAAGAAGTTCCCGTCCGACGCGCGACCTGCCAGGGGAGCAGGCGAAAGGCGAGCTGATAAGAAAATTAACGCCCCCGCATTTCTCTCGGAAGGTGGCGCATTTGTGACCGAGCGCAAGATGTAAGCGATTACGACTTCAACTGTTTCGCGTCGCTGTCTCGTGCCTCTTGTCACGCGTTCGGCGTGTAGGTTCATGTAGTTACACCTACCTCGGAAATAAAATACATGGTAACAAATTATTCAAATAAAATAAATAATACTTAAATCGAAATATGTATTTGATTTTAGATGGAATCAATTAATCACAGCCGTATGTAAATCATCACATGTCAAATATACTGCATATAAAAACGTAAACAACTCGTCATTTTTTAAACTTTTTTAAACCGATCATACATTCCAAGCGATACGTGAGCGATACTCTGTCCACAGTTACGAGCTCCAGTCACGACTTTTTTAAAACCGACGAGCTAACGAAAGAATTCTGACACCACCCGCATCCGCGAACGCGACGCGGGCCAGCGGCAGCAGCAGCAGCAGCCGGCGGGCTGGGCCTTCGGATAGGCGGGCAAGGCACGGGGCAGGGACCGGACTATAGGGCAGGAGAAAGAGGAATCAACGAGAAACAGCAGGAGGTTGGGAAGGAATGGGGAGTAATGGAAGAAGGGAACAGGGACGCGAGAGAAGGCGGGAGGGTTGGGATACGGGCAGATAGAGAGGATCAAATGGAACGCATCCGAGGTGCATACGGAGCTCGAAGGACGAAGCGGCAGAGAAGTGGGGACAGGAAGACGAGGAGCGGACGGAAGGGGGGAGAGCGGGCGTGGAGGCGTTGGGGGGGGGCGCAGAAACAGACTGCGCCCAAAAAAACGGCCTCCGAGTGGCGACGTCCGACTCCACGCGGGCTAGGACTCTGATAGCGTCTCCTAGTTGCCCGCGCGGCGTCCGGGGCGTCAGATCGGACGGCAGCAGGACAGAATTGGGGACAGAAGGGGGCGGGGCGGGGCGAGGCGGGAAATAACATATTCCTGACGCAGATTGAAAGCTGTTGGCTGGGCCAATTGGGGCTCTCATTCCACGGTTGCCTTTTTTTATTCATGGAACTATCTGCAGAGCTATGCGCTCAACGATGAATGTAGACGTTTCAAATATATGGAATAAAAAAGGATAAGGGTGAAAGAAGGGAACGCAAGGAGGAACGTTGAATATGTGACTGTATAGGTTCGACAAAAGAATAGGAACAAATTTATTGAGTGGGAAGTAGAACATGGGTGGAGGTAAGAGATGCTTTCAGGTGATATTTTTTTATATTGCTACATGTAAAGTTTGTATTTAGGGTGTGAATAATTATAAATTCTCCCCCATAGTTTTTTAAATTAATATATATATGTATGTAAGTATTATAAGATTTTGTCACGTGAATGATCGTATTATATATAAGATTGCAATAATCTGTATTATATATTTTCAAGCTTATTAACCAGAATACAAGTAATAAGGAAGTAAAAATCAAGGTGAATGCAAAATAAATGTCATTCTCGCTAAGTTAGCAGCGTGCAGGGTAAGAGCAAAACTATTCAGGAAGAACCCATGTGAATACCGAGGTAACGTAGTGAGACGAAATTGTAAGGGCTACAGGGGAGTTCACTTCGAATCCCGAGAATAAATAGTAAAGAGTATGTGCGTAAAGAAACTTCGAGGTGATATGTATGGGCATATATATCTGAACATGAATAATAAATAGGCCTACAGAATGTAGAGATAAGCTGAGAACAGACCAGGAGCACGAGGAAAGTAAAGGGGATGGAGGCAAAGAAAACTCGAGAATACACTTTTCTGGATGACATATCACCCAAATGTAATAGAATGCATTATAACAGGTACATGAAATTAATGTAATGAAAACTTTTATAGGTCTCACGACAAGGAGTTTGAATGCAAAACAGGAAATGAGAAAAACAGAAGAAAATAATGTGGTATATTTAAACAATCACGACATAATGAAATGCCCCCAGAAAACGTAAAAAATTCCAAATGTAATGTTAAAAATAAGAATGGAATAAAAATAAAAAAATATATCATTTACTTAAGGAAGAAGGGGAATAGTGTCAATAAATCCCACCCCAGGTAAGGACTGTGTTACTTATTTACTTAAAACGTATTGCAAGCAGCGCACTAGCATTAGGAAACAAAAAAGCAAACACTAAATTAAAAACTTCAGATGAAGTGGGGGTATTTGGCTGGAGGAGAGCACAGAGGTAATGGAAAACGTGGCGGGGCGCAGAGCGGAGCTACAGCGATAACGTAATATGACAGGAGGACGAGGATAAGACAGATGGGGACGAGCAGAGGATGGAAGCGAGATGAACCAAGAGTGGAAACACATCACGACCTGGAAGCAAATGAGGCAGCGAGATTTTCTTGGAACCACCATTAAGCGGAACGGGATATGCACAGGCTGCAGTCTATAGAATTCCTACGTCAAAGCGCGAAGCAAAGGGCACTAGGGCCCACGAGACGACGTAAGGATGTCAGATGATCCCTGGACAACTACTGGGCAACCTAGTGGAAGACACGACACAAAACATCTCCTGAAAGACATAAAATAAGGCGGAGTAGTTCACAATTTAAAAATTAGTTGTGTAAGGAAAGTTCAAAAGACCAACGTCGAGAAAAGATAAAATAAAACAACGTACATGGGCAGTGTAAAAATGTAGAAGGTAAAAGGTAAAAGAAGAGCAAAGTAGCAAAACGAATTGCTGGTCGAAAATGGATGTCAGCATGTTATTTCAAAAATAAGTCGTGTAACGTCATCACAAAACAAAACAAATTATTAAGGGGCAACATCCAAAAAAGAAAGAAGCGAAAAAGAAATTCCTAAAATTTTACAAAAACAATTGCAGTAAAATAAATTTTTAACAGAAACAAGGAAACGACAATATATTTACAGATTGGACAAACATAGCTTGCCAGAAACAGAAAGTAGAAGGTATTTTGGAAAATGTTAACAGAAAAATGTACGCAAAATAATGAGTACTTGCACAAGCGGAGAAAATTGAAGACACTAAAATGCAGCAGAATGAAGAATGAATGGAACCGGGAACAATGAATAAAAAATTCGCAACACGTCTGCACAGAGAAAATGGAGCAAACAAACAAAATTTGCACAGCATCAGCGCGGGACGGAAACAAAATACTAATTGGACAAAAATGGGGCGACAGCGGGACAGAAGCAGGAAAAATTAAAACACGACATTTTCGTGAACCACGGCCAAGACCAAGAGCATTTGCTCAAGGCGGGAAATGAACTAGAAGGAACCATTTTTGAAGACGCACAAAGGGAGAAATATCAAAGGAAGTGAGCGGTTAAACGTAAGGTGGGAACGAGACGCGGGAACGTATTGTAAGAGAATCGCCGAAGAGCGAACTGAGCCGGCCGGCCCCAGCAACGTGCAGACGCTGTCGCACTTCTGCCACTTAACACCGGCACCGAGGAGCACTCGCCAACTCGTATTTTTCTTCGCTTCTCTGTACTTCCTTTTCTATTTTTTCCAAACTTGGCGTGACGAAAATATTTGTCAGTCACGCAAGTAAAGGCACTCTTGCATGATTTTACACGTGTAGGTCTCTCTCTTCTCGGCCCCGTGCAGCTATCGGTTAATGACAAGTACGGAAATTACAATTGATTCGCGTGTTGCACGAACGGCCACATCGTAGATCGCACCCTCTCGCTTTTCAAAAGTGACACCGGTCGAAAACCGAGAAACGGTGAACCTATTCTTCGTCTTATTTCCTCGAGCGCACCGCGACTTTCGCAAGTTATAACCCTGCGATCTCAGCCGGCGGAATAATTCAGTTGTTGGCAGCGGAGAAATTTTCGCGCTACCGTTTTCCGGTTGTGTCAGCTCGCGAAACACAAAAAGTGCGAAACGTGTCACGAGATGCATTCTCTTAAGAATGGAAGTGAGCGGTGCCACGCGCGACCCGTTCTCCAGATAACCTCAAAGTGTCAGGAGATAAAAGGGAGGCGAAGCGACTGAAGGAGCTGTCGACAGGCGGAATCGTCTCGGGAGCGGATTAGCGAGAAGGATTCGCCCCCGGCGACGGCTGGCGAAGCGTTTGCCTGCAACTTACTTGCGCTGTGCCCCCCCGGTCTCCCCGGGCCGTGAGTGGCCAATCCAAGAGCGTGCGGCGCGCGGGCGCGGCGCGGCGACGCCGGCGCGTGGGCGCGGGGCGCGCGGCTCAACACGCGCACGCGCGATTTGAGCGGGGCTGCGGACCGGCACGACCGCTGCTGCTGTTGCTCTGCCGCGGCGGCGGACGCCGGGCGCAGACTGGCCGCAACGCGGTCGGCCGCTCGCATCGCTCCGCTCCCGCTCCCGCCTCCGCCCCGCCGCCGCCCCCGTTAGCCCGCTCGGCCCGCACTGGAGAGCGCGCGCGCGCACGCGCCGCCCCGCCCGCTCCCCCCGCGCGCGCGCCCTTCGAACTCCCGCCGCCCCCCGCCGCGCCCCGCGCCGCGAGTGACCCGACCCCGCGAGCGCGCAAATCCCCAACGCCGCTTTAGTTCGTGCCCACGGGGTTGAAAGCCTCCTCGTCGGTGCCCGAGACGGCGCGCGGGAGGCCGAAAAGAAAAGGGGAAGGCGCCGCCCACTTGTTAATTAGTGTTATTAGTGAGATTTATTACGGGACGGGACTTTCGACGAAAATACTACTATTGAATTTGTAGAAACGCGAGGCGTGCGCGGCTCACCTGCACTCCCTTTGGGCTGCGAGAAATCCCCAAAGAAACGAACATGCCAGAAATCAGGGTTGCTCCAGTGGCACTAACGCGATCGAGTGTCTGCTCATTCACTCTGGGGAAAATTCGGAGTCCACTTGATGCGCGCTGTTAGCGCTGCTTGTGCTCCTAATTCGTCTGTCCAATGTACTTGAACCATCGCTAATAACATTATTTCGGTTTATGGTTTAAGTCATGATCAATAATTCGCATATCTTCGTGCAAAGGTTCAGAAGAGCACCCAGGATTTTTACGGAGGGAGAGCTACAGTTTTGTGGCGAATATATGGACCAGCCGACTTAAATGTTTTTCAATAAATAATTTTTCATAGGGGCAAAACTGATTGCGTCAACTGTTAAGATCAATAACTTGCGGGGATACTCCGGCGAGTGTAGTGCGAGCCACCGCGCAGCCGCAACAAGCTGCGAGCTCCCGACCGGGCTCTCGTCGCGTGTGGCAGTGGCGTGCATGAAAGTGGTGGTGTGCAGACGAAGATAACACAAGGAAGAGCAAGGAAAGATCTCGCACGGCCCATGACCCGTTTGTTATGGTACTGCTCCGGCATTTGCCTGGTGTTGATCGGAGAAATCACGGAAAACTATCAGGGCAGCGGACCGCTACAATTCTCCTCTAGAAAGTGATTCAAGTCGAACTAGCTATCTAGCTAGTGATCCAAATTCTTTCACATTCGGCACTCGAACCTAGGACCTCCCGGTCAGAGGCACTGCAGTGGCATCAGTTGATTCCCTGAGCCACCTCTCTCGGCTAGTTATGATAATACAAATAGTAGTATTTTATTCGTTGACTTGTAGTTATATTTAGAACGTTAATATATTTAATGACATTCGTTTGTGTAGAAAATTAGTTAAAGCTGTAAAAATATAAATATAAATCATAATAATTAAAATATAAATCATTGGCGACAGAGGAAATGAACCTCCTTCAGCAATCTCCTCCCTCTAGGTGCGCTACTGCAATTATTATAGACAACATCAAATGACGCAAATAGAATTAAAATTCACCAACATTTTTTGTGAAAAATTTGTGAAGGATTTCAGATATACCAGGATTCATTAAGTAATGCAATGAAAAAGTTCTTCCCTAATATATTTATTAAGTGGGATCATTATCAGGTTACTCCGAATTCAAGAGCGATAAGCTTGCCGCTAAGCTATTTCATATCTGGCTTACATATCCACTCGATCTTGGACAGTTTGGCGGCATACCAATAATCTTTAAGTGGAGGCTCACCACTTGGCATGTACTATATTAAATTTTAAAAGCAATCCTTTTAATACTGAAATTTATGTTTATGATCTATGCCCCACGTATTATTAAAATATTTTAGAAAAAACTATAAATATTTTTGCCATTTTTTCTTATCTATTTCGGACTTACATATTAAAGATTAATGTTGTGCCGGGTAAACGGGAAATTTTTCAACAGAAGAACTCATATTGTGGATCCTTGTTATCACACACGTGAATAAATCTCGCTCCTATTGTAGTAAATTACTTCCTCTAACACGTTGCGTATTCTGAATTCACATTTCTGAGTCCTTTGTTTCGAAAAATTGGTTATCCGCCAAACATTTTTGTCTGTCCGTCTTTGGTCGATGCTAACGCCTAAACATTTCATTCGCAAAGTTGACATTCATTCCCCGAACATTAACAATCCCGCAAAATTAACATTCCCGCGCCGATCTGAAAGGACTTTAAGACCTGCCAATTTAAGACAGATAATTTCATTTTTGACGGTACTTTGCACGATGTCTTAACAACATCTTCAAAAGTTTCCCAAAAATGAGTCCGAATTATTGGAATACCTTTTCCCTCTGGTAGAGACTAAAGCATGTAAGTAAGAAGTAAGCTTAAAACATGGTGAATGTATCGTTATCTCACAGTTTTTATATTGCAAAAGTTCAATTTTCTTGGCACATTCCTACAACTACAATATTGAAGATAATGATTTCCTTCCTTAACGAAATCTATTCTTCAGGTTATTGTTTAAATAATAACGCATACAATATTTCATAATGTGAGTACTTTTCGAGTATTATTACATACAATATAAATCATTTTAGAAACCATAATTTCTAGAAAACATTTCCAAATTTTTCTATAATTATTTTCTTGGGCACTTTTTTGAGTAAATTTTGAAATTGTCGTTAGGGCTTGATGTAAAGTACCTTTAAAATTAGAATATCTGATTCAATATGAAGGGTCAGCGACATCAGCCAGATCGGAGAACATCAATTGTCAGGAATATTGCTATAGCGTTGTTCACTGATTGACAGCAAATTTTTAGCTTTTACCCAAAACTAAGTTTTCTCTATCAATGAATACACAAAACGTGAATTTTGTCTTCTCAACGTATTAGGGGACGTTATTAACTTCAATTCCGTTATTAACTTCTTTTTGGGTCTCAGGGACACACAAAACCCGTCTGTCTTTTGCTGCAGCAAATTACAATACGCTCTCATTGCTTCGTAAAGAGTAAAAAAAGTAAGAGATGTGATAAAGAGAGATAGGATGCTACTGCAATTGTGTACGATCAGATGTTCAAAGAATATAATTATTGTTTCATCGGGCTCCTATACCTCTGAAGCGGGAAGCAGCGAACTGACTGTAATTTAAGGTTTCATATTGCTACCAAATTCCGCGAATATCTTAGCATTAGTTGTGTAATCGTTCCTTTGTAATACATTTGAGTGTTCCAAGAAATTAAAGAAGAGAAATAAATAAATTCAGGAGAAATGATGTTCTGAGTAACTCGATATTTCATGAGAGTTTCGTTATAGGAAAATCGAAATCGAAAATTGAAGTAATACTACCCTCAAAACAAGTAGTTGAATGCATGACTAACAGTCAAATGTGCAACATAATTCATCGTAAAATAAAATAAAATACATCATAGGCCTGAAATAAGTAAGTTTACGGAAATTTATTTTATACTTCAAATACGCGGAATATTATTTTACGGAAGACGTAGATTTTTCTTCAACAAATTGCCTCCAACATTCATCTTATACTCGAAACTAATGTAAAAACGTTCAGTGTATGGTTTAAAATTTCCGCCAGTCTCAAAAATAGTTGTACGAGTATATTGGATGGTGTGGGAAAGCTCCCTCCATCTGGAGCCCTGGACTGCCCACGTGACTCTCCCCCTGAGCACCACCACAGACCCTTAAGGGCATTGTGTCTGGTGGAAGTGGACTTAAATTGAAAGTGATTTGTGTTACAGGAAGCAGTAC